GAAGATCTTTTTTCGGAAACTAAGGAGATAGGCTAAGGAAAAGGATCTCGTTCACACATGTTTGACACAAAATAAGGTTTCTCCAAAATCAATCCCAAGATAGAGAGAAAGACTGGAAAACTTCCCTGTTTGCTTTGATGCTACTTTTCAAATGCTCTAATTGAACATCGTTTTTCTGTGACGCATGAAGAGCCTGTTTACCATATTGTTTTGACATTTGTGCAATTGTGCATATGAATAGAATGTTAACTATCTCGCACGGAAATAGATTCAAAATGTTTTTAGTGCTAAATATGCTGTAATAAAGTGGTGAACGGGAAACATATACTTAGAGAGTGATTGCGATGCTACATCAATACTTCTTACGTGACGCAAGGTCTAGCGCAATTTTCGCGCCAACACGCGCCGCAACCGCCCGCCCTGCTCCTATTCGATTCATAATAGTTTTCATATTGATTTCCTTTTGCATCTGCACTGTTGAAGATCTGTCATTGTGCATGTTTTTGTACAAGGAAAATAAAGAACACAAGCGAAAACCTCTTTTCGATTCTTTTGCTTCTGTCGCGTGGGTTGCGGCACGAATTGTCGGGAAGTTTGTGATAAGACTGCTTCAATCAAATAGGAAAGCGGCTTGATGTATTTTTTTGTAAAGCGTTGAATATGTAGGATAGAACACTTTGAAGATTTGGGATCTTTGAATAATGTCCTACCCATCTTCTAAAAGGTTCGGAAAATTCAAATTCGTAAGAAAACATGATATGGCCGAAGTAAATGCTCGATTTGGGCTATTGAGTCTCCGCGGGGTAAAGAGCTGCACATGGAGAATAAATTCAATTTGCCTGAAGAGTAGTATGTGACACCCCTCAGGCTAAACGATTCGCCCGTCTAAGAGTCATTCGAGATCTTGAGGGTAATTACAATTCCAACGCTACGATTTGCGCTTTGCCAGCAAATAATGATGCCGTTTGATTTGTAGAAACAACTGCTTGTATAATACTATGGAACAGGACAATAAATGGACGAATGAAATGAATAAATGAGTGAACGAATAATGAATGAATTATCAAATAAATGAATGAATGAAGAGTGGATGAATGAATGACTGATTGAATGAATAATTAAATAAATAAGTAAGTAAATAAATAAATAAATAAAAATGGAATGAATGAATGAATGGGATGAATGAAGGAATAAATGAATGATTGAACAAATAAATAAATAGATAAATAAGTAAATAAATAAATAAATAAATAGATGGAGATGAATGAAATAAGTTGGTTTGATTTTTTTCCGATGATTTCGGAACTTCCTTTAGTATCTCCCCCAAAACTCGGCACGAGGTGGCTACTTAAAAATGCAAAAAACGAAGTCCACCTTGATTTCGCAAATTTTTACGAAGTCCCCTTTGACCCTAGACCATAACCCCTAAAAAATCTCCAAAAACGAAACGTCGACTAAAAAAACGTCGCAATTTTGTGTCTTTACCCACAAAAACGAAACCCCCTTTGCTTTTTGTCCTAAAAACGATATCCAGCTTGCTTATAAGCCATCTGTGCCGAGCCTTGGTCCCCTCTAAAGGTTGAAACAAAAAACCGCTGAAACTGTCCCTTTCGGAAAAGACTTTAATTTGTCGAGAATATGCTCTTGAACCCCACTTTTGTTCCTACGTACTGCTGGGTGTATGTCAAGAGGCGCGATTTTTATTGCCAGATGAATACCAAATAGCAAATAATGAAATGAGTGTTTTAAAACATTCCAAAAGTCTTCAAATTTTTCAAGGAGATATATTAGATAGTTGCAAGGATTCCTCAGTCTTGCTACCTTGAAATAAATTCAAAAAAGCAATTTTGAAGGTCAAAAACCCATGAAAATGCAGCTAAGAACAAATTTGTAAATATTTTGGTCCGTTTTCCGGCAAAAGCCACCAAACTTAGCAAGTGGTAACCTCAGACAGCTAGTAAGCTAATGCACTTTATCTGGTACTTTTTGAAGACTCGCATAGCACTAAACTAAATAACTGAAATTAAGTAGCAGGAAAAGTTTAAAAAAGATTATAAGAGAGTTGCTTTAGCACCTTGATCATGTACCTAGAATTTACTTATATCAGGCTCTCCGTAAGACTGTGAAGTTCTCATGAACGGAAAGGGCAAACATTACTTTGTTTAAATAAGTGAAAACTTACTCCTTCAAATAGGATGGTAGAAGATAGAAGCAACTGCTATCAACTGGAGCAAAATTTCATTGACATTTGAAACTAGTAAGTTCTGAATCTAATTTAAAGGACGAGGCAAGAGAGAAAAAGGTTACAGATAAATAGAGGCAAGATGAGCTGCAGCAAAACTCGGATCTCAAAGCCAGAACAATAGGTCATTTGCGGTGTCTAAATCTATTTCGCTATCTTTGAAACAGGAAAGGAAGTAAATGTTCCAAAAAATAAAAATAAATCTTTGATCTGAGTTCATGCAGCGTCATTTTTGGTTGAAAGAAAGGGATTATTTTGCAAAAAAGATGCATTTGAGAAGCAAGTTGATGAGGAAAAATAAATGGATTTAGATACCAATAGAAGATGATAGAGTTACTGTAATTCAAAGGCTCTTTACCACTGATCGGGTAGGTCAGACCCACAACTGAGAGTCTGATCTACCCGATCGATAACGAGTACATTAATAGTTTTTCTTATAACCTCGTAAAAGAACAGAATAAAGGCGGCTGATAGAATAAGGTAATGTCTCTGTGTGGGTAATACGTTCGTTTGGCTGCTTGGTAACGGCAGCGGTAATCACACGCACCCCAACACATCACCCACGGGCTACACATGGAATTGAAATCGAATTTCTAACGATAAAATCGAAAAGCAGGTGCTGAGATGTTTGTAATTAGCACCAAGCCTCGTTTATGCTTGCGTAGTTGGATTAGGTTGGTCGCAAAAAACTGGAAAAAGTGGGAGGGGGTTGAAAAGGACTGCTAAGCCGTTGAAATTACGAGAATTTGCTTGCAATGAATAACGGTAGAGCCTCGCAATAGAAGGAAGTCCAACCAAACTCGAGAATCGGAGTGGAAAAATCAAAAAAAGCTGAACCAAGTACCCAACAAACAATCGGCAAACCCCGGATTCTTCATTCTTACAGAAACTTCCGAGAAGAGCGTGTGATTACACTTTTTTGAGGAAATGGACAAAGCGAAGATACGATGGAAGCATTTTGAGTATTTCTCTTTTTGCTATTCTATCAAATCGGAGTACGAAATTTTCATTCAGCTTCTGATAGTAATGGAAATGCTTTCTTTTACGTTCATATTTCTTACGAAAAGTAATGGATTGCTCAAAAATTGTAAGGATTCCAGAAGTTTCAAATTTTCTTCTCTGTGCTCATCTTCATATCAGAACGCCCGTGTTATTTGAATCTATTATCTTATTAAATCTTAAAAAGCTGAATCCGAAATTCCTGTCCCGATCTTGTTATCTTGTTAAAGGTAGCGTCCACTCAAAACCTCCCCTATTTCTGTCATTCCAGGGCCTTTCGGTGGCCCTGATTAGAGTTATGAAGTTCAAATAGTCCAAAACCCCCAAAGAACCCGATTCCTGAGGGCCCCTGTCTTGGGGGCGCGGGCGGCTGGTTAGAAAGTTCAAAGTAAATCTGAGGACATACCCCTAGTTTCCTTGCGCGACTCGAATGAAGCTCTTCTTTCCTATCACAAAAAGAAATTCATTCAACTACGTAAGCACTGGACGTTGCCTGGAGAAGTGAACGCTTGGAAGGGCAACAATAACAGTTCAAGTGAAAGATTTACGCTTGTTTGACAAAAGTAACATAATTTCTTTCCATGAAAGGCCTACAGACCCTATGCGTTGTCAAAAACTTTTGACCTGAGTGCAAATATAGTTGAATTCCTCAGATTATATTTCCGAAAGTGCGATAATGCATGCTAACCTAAATTTTATTTCATTATCATTTGTTCCTCTCCGTCCATGTAATTTACTCATTTTCTCAGAATAGTTTTCTATAAAATATATCAACATGTAAAGATACAACTCCTCTTACTAATCAAAGCTGATGATCAAAATTGCAACTCGATATTCCAAAAAGTGTCAATAATCCTCAAATTTGCAAAATACTACAGCTATTATATCAGATGCTTGTTACCCCAAAAATTACGAATTCAGTTCCTCAAAAAACGTTGCAAGAATTCATTCAAACATAAATTTCACAACATTTCGTGTTCTTGCTCATTGCAATTGTAACAATTCTCCCAAGGCTACGAATTGTATGCTGAATGCAAATTCAAGAAAAAAAATTTTTATTTGCAACCATACATGATTAAAATATACCAAAAAAAAAGTGTTCTGCACTGTGCATTGCTATCCCAATCTGATTACGGTGATAACCTCGCTAAGGGACCAAGAAGCCTGCTCGCGTGCGGCCATGCCACCATTATGCCATTACGGTGAGGGCCCACAAAAGGCACCAAGTTCTTGTTTATTTATTTATTTATTTATTTATTTATTTATAAAATGCAAAGTAAGTGCGCACGAGTAGATGTATTACGATAAAGAGATGAGAGAGTATGAGAGGACAAAGATAAAGGAAGCCAACACGCCAGTAATCTATCCAAAGCAGGATTGGATAAAGCCCTCTTGAACATTTGGACATTGCTTGATTGTAGAATATAAGGTGGAAGATGTTCTAATCATCTTACGCCTCTAAAAAACAATATGTTGAAGGTTAGCAAGTATTGCTTTTTATCGATTGGAAAATAATGCAAGTTGAACGATTTTGAGCTTTGATTGGTGGGTATAAAGATAGCTCGCTGGTAGTTTGTGGGTAGTTAAGTTGAGTATTCATTCAACTATTGTCATTCCTCTATTACTGGAAGTACTTCTAGCGTTTCTCTTGGGCTATGATTGGTTTTCTCCAAAATATATGTATGTAACTGATCATCAAGAGCGCTCTCATAGCCAGAAAGTAATCAGTAGTAAGAGTAAATAAAATCAAACATTTCAGCGAAGAGGACGGTGTTCGACGAAGGGCTCGAACCGTAGGTCCGGTTGGACGAGATAGTATGCCACGTGTGACGCACAGTTTCTATACGTAAGTGAAGTAATTCCTAATCTTTAAAGGATTCCAGGCAAAAAAATTTGTGAACATTTTAGAAATGCTCCCGTTGCTTCACATACAGCTCGGAGAACACCACTACCATTCGATCGTGGAGCGAATTTTGCCTACGATAGGGAGGGCGTCACTCAAGGTGGGGCGTTTTTTTTTTTGAGATAAATGCAAAAATACAAATAATAGAAGTAAATAGTGGCCAGAACTAATCGCATCGTTATGTGAAAACGCAAACCACAGAATGGAAGAGTGTCTTTTTCGCTGGCATTTTGAAAAGGATGAATTAATAGTTGAGAGATTCAGAGAAAAAGCTGCCAGAAACAAAGTCAAAACAGTGCATACTGAACCTACCCTACTTCTTCATGAAAAGAAAGTCGAGAGCTGATACGAAGTTGAGTAAAACAAACAGAACTTCTAGTGTCTATGGTTCAGCGTCTAGAGTAACACCCGCGCCTACTGTGCCAACGCCGTGTCGGTGTCATGCTAGTGCCGCGCTAGTGCCGTGCCGGATCCCAGATCCCACATGGACGCTCTTTGAGTTCGTCGATAGGGTTCGGCACGGCGATGCCTACAACTAAAAAAAGAGGAAGAAGCCTACAAAAAATACGAATAAGAAAGTAAGGAGTTTGTGATGTTAAATGCACTGATTTGCCTGATGATTTCAAATCTGCAGAATTCTGAGATCTAGTCAGTTCTTCCAGAAAACATACCTTATAGGGAAAGTCAAATTCATAATTTAGACAAAAAAACCAAAAATACATTGTAAGTTTTGAGTTTCCTCAACACTAATGAAGGCAACAGCAGTTTGTGAAAGTGCAAATTTCGATCATTTCTTCAAGAATAACTCTAAGCCTGTTTTCACCAAAACGCGCCATTCTGATGAGCAATTACGCAGAGTGATTAACAAAGGCTTAGACACTTTGTTTACGTCTTCAACAAAAAAAGAGATAGAGCGAAAACAGAAAGGACAAAAGCGAGATAAAAATGTAGAAAGTCATCATCATGGCAAAATAATGCTTTGCTGTAGCTGCTTTTTGTACTACAAAAAAAATTATATGCTTGAAAGTTGCGACTCAAGTGAAAGACAACAAGAAAGGTTAAAAAAAAGAAATAAGGAAGAACGGGCAGCAACTTTTACATTCGCACTTCTAAGCTCTTCAACCAAGGACCCCGTTTTCGTGTTAGCTAATCTCCGCTTTTCCGTTCCCCCTATTCTACCCCTCCCCTCTTCTCCCCTTCCTTTCTTACTTTGCTTTGCCCATTATTGCGATGAACTATTCTTCTATATGAAGTGAAAACGTTTCGTATATGCGCAAAGGAAAGTGAAGATGCGGAGTCCTTTGTTACTTCTCTATGTATTGTTATTTCTCTATGTACTAATGAATGCTAGCTTCCTTCTCCCTTGTTCGGGTTTGTTATTGAATTGCACTTTTCGCGAAGGTTGAGGTTGGGAAAGGCATGTAAGAAATGTTACTACATTCTAAGAAGAAAACACGTTATTGAACAGACAAATGAACACGTAATAAATCAAAATTATGAGAAGGCCTTTTTTACGTCTCACGTCCCCCCCCCCCCTCTCCAGAGAGGTTCTCAATGAAAAATGTAATTTTCTAGGCAATGTATCAAAACATGTGCGTCGATGGCCACCGGCCAGTAACGCAACCGGAGCCGAAGTGAGCAAAGACGAGTGGGTAAGGGAAGTGGCCAGAGAACGCGATGATGGACTCATTACCACTATGGCAAGGAGTGAGTTGTTTATAGTTCTCTAAACAGAACAAACAAAGGGAAAGAACTCCAACAACTATGCCTGAAGGCATGCATTTGGAATGCGAAATAGTGGGAGGGTAGAGAGGTAGGGCGGGAAAGTAAGGCTGTTGACTAAAAAAGGAAGCACAAAACAGAATTCAACACCTGGTTTGGAAAAAAATTCAGTATTCACCAGCAAAGAATGACATGACCTACAAAAATGGATGCAAATGTATAATATTTAGTTTTAATGTATAAAAAAATTTAATTTTCCGAAAGCGAAAATCGAAAAACTCATTTTTGGAAAATTTGCGGAGATACTACAGCATCTTCGCAATATTTTCTCTTAGCTATCGAAGTCCCTTAGGCCCCTATTTTTTGTAAATTCGTGTTTTGCTGATTCTAAAGCCGTCATTGTTCCAAAATTGTTGAGCGGGGCTATTTATCGAAGCTATCAATCGTTTTTTATTGGAGACCCTCGAATGAAAACAAATTGTGAAAACTTTACCTTTATTCCAATTTCGTGAAAGATTTTGAAAAAAAAATCCCCTTTTATGAAATTATAAAGTCAAAACTTCCGACACGGATAAAACGGCGTAATCAGCTTTTCCATCAAAGTTATGACCATATTGTATAAATTTGGTCTTTGATAAGAGAAATCGGCTTTGATATGTAGTAAATCTCAGAATCTAGAAAAGGTAAGAAAATTATTAATTGCCATATTTGAAGCTGGTAACGGTAAACTGATTCAAATCCCGTACCGTTCAGCATGTAGCGCCAATGTTAGTTGACCAGGGTTCATGATTGTATATAGTATTTTACCCTTGAAGAGATTGAAAAAGACCATGTTTTTTGAGCGGCTCCGGCAAAATAAAAACTTAGCTACTGGGAAATTTGGTCTAGGAAGAGTGAAGATGGCAAAAGTAGGCGTGACAATTTGGGCTTATTATGAAAATCCCACGGAGTAGGAGGAGGAGCCTCAATAATTTCTTGAAACTTTATCTATGCAGGCATTTAGCTTACTCTGCTATCTGATAAGTTTTTACGATGCAAATGGAATCATCCAATTGTAAAACAAAGTATTTCGCTGTTTTGAGCGAATAAACTTTGCTCTGAGTGAGTATGAGCTCTTTTGCGAAAGTGATGCGATCTGGCAAAAACGGCAGTTTATGTCGTATTTCGAGTGGAAGCAAGCTTGTTGACGCGGAGCTAATATGGTAATACATCACTTGTTGTCGGACTCGGTTCGGTTGCTCCCCGTTATGTACGCAATATTGCGTCGAATATGAGTGTCGAACATGTTCATTAGTCAAGTGCAGTCTGCTGCAATTTTTATGGGACATTTGAATACATAGTACATAGTAAGTGCAAGTAATTTACGTGAGCGATATGACAGAAAGTAATGGGTGTGCTAGTCCGCAACTGCACACTAATGCTTGCGCGTACGACTCTGAAATTTTGGAGGAAACTTGGAAGAGAACTTGGAAGAGAAGACATTACTTTGTTATGTGCCAATAACACGTGCCGACGACAGAGTGCCCATTCAAAATGATTCAAACAGGAGAATGTTTTGCAAGTCGCCGAGACTCGCACTCACACTACCCTAGGGAATTATAGAATTACACATGGTTTATTCGCTTGAAAATTGCAAAATCGAATAGTTCTGGGACGTTGTTGTCGTTTTTGCGTGAAAATAGGCGGTCTGTATTTCCAACAATAAATTTGGGTCATCCATGAATTTTAGTCTCGGGAGATTTTGCAATGACGAGTATTTGTGAGGGTTGCTATGAATATCTGAATCCAGCAAATGTAGAATAAATAAAGATCGTTATATTATAATGGCAAAAGCTGTATTAATTGAAATCTAAATGGAGGCAATTCCAAAAGGAAGAAGGAGATTCTGCGGTTCAGATAGGCAAATGGCTCCTATAATGATTCAGGTTTTTTAAACACTTTTTATACTTCTTTGGAAAATCGGAATTTATGATGAGGCAACGAAGACTTCTGCGCAGAAATTCGATCCTTTCAAAACAACCAACTGCATGAAATAAACGATATTACTCTTTCTGAAAAAGACCTTTGATGTTTTTACTAATTGTTTTGATTGTTTTAATTTTTTTACTAATTGATTTATGATGGGGCAACGAAGACTTCTGCGCAGAAATTCGATTTTCTCAAAACAGTCAACTGCGTGAAATAAAATATCACTCTTTGTAAAAAAGGCCTTTGATGTTTTTTTTTCAAATGTTTTGTTTCGCGCAGTTAGTTCACCGTTTGAAAAATGAGGTCTCGAAGCCGTTGACACTTGCAAATAGCGAATCCATGTCATTATATTCCACCTAATAAGGAAATGAATTTGAAATTTATGATTTTTGTACGAGTTAGTGGGCACTACTATAGCTTCGAATGTTGAACATGCATTGGGCATGAATCCCTTTGAAAAAGCATTGTCAAGCTATGGCTAACGAGGCTATGACGGATAGCCTGACAACAAATGGGCGGGAAGTAAAAATTCGTTAAAAAAAATTCGGTTCTATTTTAATTGTTTCCGACTGGATAAAAAATTTGAGCATGATCTCCCCCAAGTTTGAGCTACATTATTTACTCATCTAGGAGTGATGGAGAAAAAAACCGAAGATAACTGGAAATGGCATGATGATCGTGGACGAGTGCTTGACGAGCAGAAACAGAAACATTGGAAAGTAAGCATTTTTGATTACGTATGACTGAAAAAAACAATATTTGAAAGTAACAGATTCTGAGTAGCATCATCACAATCATTAGTTTTCGCGACCAAAATAAGTAATGCTGGTTCAATTTGCCATTGCCTTGTTTTTCGAGAAGCTATTTCGATTTTAGTGGCCCCCTAATCTGTTATATATCCATCATTATCTTTCTATTTACGACAGCTTCTGATGAAGCAGATAGATTGCTTGCAGGGCAAATTGCAACGAATGGTCTCATTTCTATTTGCAAATGGAAATATTTTACAAGGTCCTATGAGTCTATTTTTGATCTCAAACTATGAAAAAATCCTCTTTTGTAATGTCATGCGAGATGTTTATAGGTGAATAAGCACTAAAGGCTGATGGGAAAGTTATTAATAATAACATTTTTATCTGAATGATTTTTTTTCATGGCGAATTGGATACGGTACTTCGTGATGGACCCGGTGAAGCTAGGCATTGGAGCCGCAAAGTTGAAGTTATGCCTACAGGTTTGTATCTAATGCATTTTATGTTTCTTTGAATGCACCACTTTTGTCAAAAATAGTATTTATCCTTTGTTTCAACTAAATCGGCGGCTGAAAGGCGGGGCTCCGTAACCTAATCGAGACTAGAAAATGATCAGAGAGCATGTTCGTGAGGGAGGCGCAGACTGCGTCGCGGACACGAGCAGTCGTTTCCTACATAAGTCATGAAGCCCCGCCTTCCAGCAGGCGATCTGGATCTGGTTGAAGCAAAGGGTACTTTCTCCTTTGTTTTTTGAATTCCGATAACAAATGACTGAATTCAGAGATTTTTGGCGTTGTAGCAATTTGCTATCGTCTTCTTAATTGAATTTCATTCTCAACGCAGAAAATAGGCCTTGCAGGCGGCGACTACGCTTTTATCTGCGTATCTTCTGATTACGTGTTCTATCTGCGACTCAAGAGCGCTTGCCGCGTCGCTGCCCCTGAGCCAGTGCATTGCTATCGATTGAAAATGAATTAAATTTTTTGTGTAACAATTCTATATCGTTCTTCTCCAAAAAAGTTCCACTGAGTGTTTAAGTGAACCAGTTCGATTCAATTCATTCTATGCTCTTCTTTAGGTGATACACGCTTTCAAGATGTGCGAAGGCAATACAATAACAATTTTGTTGTAGAGGTGAGAGACTGGATTATTTCGATAATTACAAAGAATAATTTTGCTTTTTTCAGAGCATCGTTCGTAATTACTAGTACAGTGCGCATCATTGCAACCTTGCATTGCTATCTATATGTATGACGTGCATTTATTATATTATTGTGGAAATAAAGTGCCTTATTTGTTGCTTCATGAAACGAATTCAAACGTGGGCCTTCACAAACGCTTTCGTCCATACAAAAATGAATGATGCCTAAGAGATAGGGCAGCAGAGTGTTTGCAATGATCAAAAACCAAACTGTAACCCCGGCTAGTTGGGACCAACTGAACGAAACATTAAAAGTTGGAATGAGTTATACTTGTAATTGGAACCTCGTATCTATAAAATTAAGCAAAACTATTCATTTCATAGACAAAAACTCAAAATTATCGGCAAAAACGCCCATTGTGATAGTTGTGTACACAAAGTATCTCAGTACCCCTTAAACAGGTGAAATTCACTTACCCAAATGTTTTTCCATAGTCTCTCGTGATACAATGTTGAGGGCATACTTCAGCTCGGATTGCAGCAGAAGAGCCAATAGCGATCGTCACCTCGTTACTGTAGGATTACGGTAGAACTTTAGCGCAAAAGTAATGAGGTAATTGCTACTGCGGAGAAAACCTGTAATGCAGGGATGATAGGGTTTCCACACTAACTGATTTCCACAATGAACTTCATACACGTTTTGCGAAGCTATTATAATGGTATACTCAATTTTTGAAGTCCATCTAAGCTCTACGGTAAATGTAGGTTTTACGAGGTCGTAATGGCATATAAACCTTTCTCCTTTAGATAAGCAACGAAACTGAGCCAGTGACAAATCTTCCAATTTGAATTTTAGCAAGTTTCAGACAATCGTAAAACATTTATTAGGATTTTGTCGTCGTAATTCCTAGGGGGAGAGCAGCCAAGTTATCAAATTTTCCTCAAATTCTCTTTTGAATTTACAAAAAAAAACGATTTCATAGACATAATTCCCAGAAATTCGTCTCGTTAGTGAGGAGCGGCAGCGCTTTATCATACAAGCACATTTGAAAAAGATTACTATTCATATTCTGACACAAAACTTTTTTATATGACAACTTCTGTCCATAGCTTTCTCAACATTCATTCAGTGATCACATCCACTACAAAGCTTAGACAGCCGATCGTTCGGAATACGAATCTATTTTCACCAAGCAAGCAACCTCAAATTTTGGATTTTAAAATCTCCGATGCAAAATTGTTGGATTTTGCTTAACGCCAACACTGCCAAATTTGCCAATAAGCTCTCTATTGTTTGCCAATCTTTCCAACTGCCACCGTACATTGTCATTCAGCTTCTATCAAAATTAATTTCGATAGAAGCTGAAGCAATTAGATCTGACATTAAAAGTATGGTGTTATTCTGGCCGTTTCAATTAGTCACAAAAAGGTCGTTCGAATTCAGTAGAACCTCTGCTGTAATGCATACTACTCAACTAACCGTCACTCGACTCACCGAAGTAAAAATGAGTCATTTTCTGCACAAAGAACACTTTGCAACGTTCTCTAGACCCGCCAATCGAGTCCGTTTTTCTTTGCCCGATGAGCACACGTGTATCGATTGCTTGTTGGGAAACCCATTTCACATTACATTTTCAATCATGCATTTATTGAAACTCAAATATAGATAACTGATGAAAACAACTGATTACTGGCACAGATTATATGAGATAAGCAAACATTTACATGAAACAGACACAAAATCTGAGATAAGGCAAGAAATAACTAACACTGCAAGATGGAATGTGGCCCTTATGAGGGCCATTGAGCTAGAAAACATCTACAGTAGATCAAATTCACTTGCTTGAAGTATATTTGGTAACAGCCTTCGTACCTTCAGAAACAGCATGTTTGGCCAGTTCGCCTGGCAAAATTAAACGAACAGCAGTCTGAATTTCACGAGAAGAAATGGTAGAACGTTTGTTGTAGTGGGCTAGACGAGAGGCTTCAGCAGCAATACGCTCGAACACATCGTTGACGAACGAATTCATAATCGACATTGCCCTCGAGGAGACGCCAGTATCGGGGTGGACCTGCTTCAGCACGCGGTAGATGTAGACCGAATAGCTTTCCTTTCTGCGGTTTTTCTTCTTGTCGCCCTGACGTCCAAGCTTCTGACTCTTCACGGCCTTCTTCGCTCCCTTGCTAGAAACCTTCGGTGGCATGATGGCGAGACAGACGAGCAATACACGCAATAGACAGAACAATCAGTCGATAGAGACACGTCGAAGTGACGCCAATTTATGGCGCACTTGCAAAGATGCTCCGCCCACAAAATGGGCGGGCTAGCCCCTCAGCTGGCATACAAATATCTTGCAGTACATAGCTCCATTAGCAAATCTACTGCGATCCGTACTTCCCTCGATGTCTAGCCGTGCAAAAGCAGGCAAAGCGAAAACCACCACAAAAGCCAAATCGCGCTCAAGCCGAGCTGGACTTCAGTTCCCTGTGGGTCGTGTTCATCGCAAACTTCGTCAGGGAAACTATGCGCCACGCATCGGAGGAGGTGCTCCTGTCTATTTAGCTGCTGTTTTGGAGTACCTAGCTGCTGAAGTGCTTGAATTGGCTGGCAATGCCGCTCGTGACAACAAGAAGTCTCGCATCATTCCTCGTCATCTACAGCTGGCCATTCGCAACGATGACGAGTTGAATCGGTTGTTATCCTGTGTCACTATCGCTCAAGGAGGAGTTCTGCCAAATATTCACGCTGTACTTCTACCCAAAAAAGCCGCGGCCGAAGAAAAAGCATAAAATCAACTACATTCTCATGAACAGCGCAGCTGCCATTTGAGGGGTGTATGTCAAGAGGCGCGATTTTTATTGCCAGCTGGACACCAAATAACACATAATAAGTGTTTTGCAACTTTCTAAAAGTATATGAAATTTAGAAGAAGATATATTAAGTAGTTGCATGAGCTGTTCAATCTTGATGCTCTAATAGAAATTCAAAACAGCAATTTTGAAGGTCAAAAACTCATGAAAATGCATTTCAGAACAAATTCGTAAATATTTCAGTCCGATTCAGAGCAAAAACCATGAAACTCAGGAAGTGGTGACTTCAAACAGATAGTAAGCTAATGCAGTTTATCTGGTAATTTTTGAAGACTCGCATAGCACTAAACTAGAGTTTTAAGTTGGTGACAGCCAAAGAAATCGCGCCTCTTGACCGTCTCCCCCATTTGAGGGCTACAAATTATAGGGCATAATTGTTATTTCTTTTTCTTTTATATGTACAAAACGGGAGTGTATGTGTACAAATATGTTCTGTGATACGTATTTAATTAAATTTGTAGGTATAAATATGTTATCCAAAGAGACCCTTATCAAACTGACAGGGACAGCATTTGCTTGTAACTTCGTGATTGATGTCAGCTAACATAACTAGCTTTTCTGAAAAATTTTCTATCAATCGCCTACTTCATCTTATGTATGTAATCTCAGCGAATATGATCTTAACAATTCTGCATTCAAATTAGCTTTGTAATAAAAATTCTCGGGGCGTGGCGTTCACGCCCCCTTTTCCAAGATTTTAGGGGCTAAGGACACGCGAAATTTCAAGAAGCACCGTAAAAATTCTCCGGAGTGCGTAAGTGACGCCACGCACCTTCATTTGGAAAAACCTCCCCTGGACGGAAATCCTACAACCGCCACTGACCAGAATTTTTCTTAAAATCTGTTCAAAGATGGGTGGTTTCAAGCCGTCATACGCAGTGCGAAGGATAAGAGTGAGTAATCAGGATGCTTTTCAACCCAATTTCAGAAAACTGTTTATTATGTTGTGGTTCTAGAAAAGGAAAGAGATAGGTAGAAAGGTAGTTTCCTTGGTTTATTTCGGGTTGTAGGGTAAAAAGCAGAGATATAGCTCGTCCAGCAATTCAACAACCAGGATTGCCTTTCCTTCTTTCAAAAATACCAAAACTCTAAATCTGTAAAGCACTAAAACCAGTTTTCAAACTCATTTGTGAGAATCACTTAGTTCCGATAAAGTCCTAACAGTGTGCTCAATACATTGTCCATCTACGCATGATTTCAATAACTCTAGCACTTGTATTGTTGACAACTCAATAACACTTTGTGCCAATAATAGGCCCGTTTCTATGTTGTTGTAAAACGCGAATTTTGGCTATTTTCGGAGAAAAAGTCTGTTTTGCTCGGGATCATGTGATATTTGCCAAAAGTGGAGGTTATCTCATTTGTTGATAACAGCTGTTGTAACAATATCCTGTTGTGTTATTCTGTACTACTGAAAGATCCAACTGCGTCATAAACACGAAGTACACAATTTTTTTCATCATCCACATTATTATGTAGGAAATCATGTAAAGAATGTTGAAAGGATTATCTCTTGGGATAACCTATGTTACCAGATAATTTTCGCGTTCGATAAATTAATAGGTTCTTCTGACTTTTATAAGCAAAATAGAACGAGCTAGTAAATAGCTTTGTGATATGCTGCACGCTGAAATTTTAGCTTCCTATGGCGAGCGGTTGTGCTGAAAATAAGCCCCGCCCCTCATAGGTTGGCGCATATAATGCGCATTCGAACCTGACGGAACATCATCGTTGTTGTCCAGCAAGCGATGGCTCGTACCAAGCAAACAGCTCGCAAGTCCACTGGAGGAAAAGCTCCCAGGAAACAACTGGCAACCAAGGCTGCTCGAAAATCTGCCCCAGCCACCGGAGGAGTGAAGAAGCCACATCGCTATCGTCCCGGTACCGTTGCTCTTAGGGAGATCCGTCGTTACCAGAAGTCGACCGAGCTGCTCATCCGTAAACTGCCCTTCCAGCGTCTTGTGCGTGAAATTGCACAGGATTTCAAAACCGATCTTCGTTTCCAGTCGTCTGCTGTGATGGCCCTTCAAGAAGCTTCGGAGGCTTACTTGGTGGGTCTTTTCGAAGACACAAATCTGTGCGCGATTCACGCAAAGCGTGTCACCATCATGCCCAAAGACATTCAGCTGGCAAGAAGAGTACGCGGAGAACGCGCTTGAAGATGATGGATAGTTGAAATAATCTGACCCAACGGCCCTCTTTAGGGCCACAATATCTCAGAATATAGCAGGTCTTAGAGTATAAAATTTTATTGGAATAGCTGATAAACTTTGCATAACTTTGTTTCCAACAGTTGAAGTCTAATGAAGTTCAAAGTGCGCGCGAACAATCACTAAATAGTGCGGGTATCAAGGCGCAGTGTTGCTCCATGAATATCTCACGACTCTACTCTCTTCAGGATGGTAGTTTACACTTTTTCAAATTGCCCATGAATTTCTCGAGCGGATGCCCTACCCAATAAAGAGATTGTCTGCAAGCCCCTCTGAAAGTGCATTTGTTTCCGCAGTTTTCCTGCAGTCAGCCCTCGCATCGATTTGCTGTGAGATGTCAGCACAGGCCGGCATCAATGGCATAGAAATTTCGATTTCAAATGTAGGAGAAGTCAAATCTGTAAGTATTCACAAAGGGCTGAGTTGATACTCAAAAAGTGATAAATTGTTAACACAGCAAGTATGAGCAATTTGGTGTTACATACATGATGTGGATGTAAAAAAAGATAAATCGTTAACACAGCAAGTATGAGCAATTTGGTGTTACATTGGAGCGGATGCAAAATAAATCACTGCTTTTTTCCGAGGCTGAAGGCAGTGAGAAGGAATATTCACAGATTTACACGTGTGCTTTGTAGAGGGCCTACATACTGGTAGAATACGAATAAGTAACAAGTCAGAACATTTTTGCACTTAAAAAAACGATTCAATACACAAAAACAAGCTTGAGATCAACAATGAGACTTACGACTAGCACCCTCTATCCCATAAAAGCCATGGGCATGATTATATCAATGACTGCACTGATTTGTTAAGACATGGGCGATCGTTTTGTTATGTTCCTTTGAGCAAGCAAGAAGACTGTTACTCGCAGAAATTTCATTAGGTAAAAAGATGAGAAATACCAATATTTTACTCTACTTGATCGAACATGTTCCGAAAATGAAAAAAGCATGAGAAAAACGATTACTAACAATGTTTTTCCAGTTGATATGGTGATGAAGTGCACCTATGTGGACGTGCGCTCAAATCACTGGTAATATTGAAAAGACGGTCCGATTTTGTGGTTTTATAAAACTCTCGCAATCATATCCTACTGTTATCTATCATTATAAGGCTTCTCTGGTGATCTCACATCTTCGCTTCGAACGCAATACATACGGAACCCGAACTGCGATACACGTCAGTGCAGCACCTGCATTTGGGGGGCGCAACGGGGTGACCCGAGCTGCGGCTTTATAAGCGGCTGTCGCGGCGGTGTTTCATCTCATTTGTGAGTGCAATCGTCGTCGTCATGTCTGGTCGCGGAAAAGGAGGCAAAGGACTTGGCAAAGGAGGTGCGAAGCGACATCGCAAGGTGCTTCGTGACAACATCCAAGGAATCACCAAGCCAGCAATTCGTCGACTCGCTCGTCGTGGTGGAGTCAAGCGTATCTCTGGGCTGATCTATGAGGAGACCCGTGGTGTGCTGAAAGCGTTCCTAGAGAATGTGATTCGCGACGCTGTCACGTACTGCGAGCACGCGAAGAGGAAGACCGTCACCGCAATGGATGTCGTCTATGCCCTCAAGCGACAAGGACGTACCCTCTATGGATTCGGAGGATAAGCTCTCATGTCAACAATTTCAAACTGATTCTGACCCAACGGCCCTCTTTGGGCCACATCTTCGGACAATGGTGTTCTTCTGTGTAATGGTTGTCATGTGCATTTTTTTATTTCTCTGAACATTCGTCACCTAAACTCGTTTCTCTCTAATTATCTATTCATGTGGTAGTAATTCGTGCAAGTTGTTTGTAAATATTCACATATTCTTCGAGATAGCACTGTCGGGTCCTCTTGTTCTCAAATGGCTGTCATGTTCTTGAAATTTCTTCTTCGTATCGTGTCAGTACGTTCGATCAATCTGTGACAGTGTTTCCATTTTGAAAGCTGTTTGTGCCGCTGTGTATACAATTCCCGCATATCATCATGTTTAGGTTTGTGGTTTCTTACTGTCTAGACTCAATATGTTGAATTGTAATTCTGCCTGTTTTTACTATTTTATTATTTCATAAACTTATGACTGCGCAGTGTTGACAAAATAGCCAGTCGTGATTGACGTGAAACGGTGTTGCCGCTTCCGAACATTAGACTTAGTCATGTGGAAGAAATCCGCTGAGGTGCTTCCACGTGTACCAGCAATTATCGATTGGTAGAATAAAAAGTATGGCCTTCGCCAGGCTGACGCAGCCCGCGTTGCGGCACGGACAAGGCTAAAGCAAGATTCTACCCTAATTTCACGCGTATAGGACGCGGGGGATTTTTTTTTTCTAAAATCAGCACAAACACGCTGAAGGACTTGGCGACCAAAAAACTATTTGCAGTGCTGCACATTGCCTGAAAGTATCTGCGGCGTAAGTCTCGTTTGCCGAAACAACGAGGTGGAGCGGCATGCCTGAAAAACCGGAAAAAGGTGCGTCTTATACGCGTGAAATCAGGACTATTCATTTTGACAAAAGTTATCATCTCAAGCTTCTCAAATTGATGCAGCTAGTCCAAAATTCGCATCTAATGGCAGAAATTTTCGAGAAAAAAAAGGAACCAAAAAATCTTCTAGGCGTACGTATGAGCATTAGCTGCAATCGTGAAATAATCACACTGATTTCTATGAACCCAGCGGCTGTCCATGTTATTTTCGAAGTTGTTGGATGAAGTTGGATGGATTGCTGCGAAAGCGGCGGAAAACTATTTAGTTATGCCTCCCTCGAACCCGAACTCCACAGCGAAAACAAACTTACACTTAATGAACAGTATGTTTTATTGTATACAAAGAACATGCAAAGTACCCAACGAATGAAATAAAAAAAAACACTTGAAATGTTCAAAAAGATTTTTTTACAACACAACACATCACCTATTACAGAAGAACCATGTTACAACATTTCAATCAAAACACAGCCACCTTAAGCAAGTTAAGTTGCCTAGAAGAGTAAAAGTACATGTAGATCACATTTTTGAATTGCTTCAAGATTGAAACGCACAAGAAGAATTCCTAATAAAAATTTGGAAAAGCAAAGTTTTTACAGTCTGCTTACATTTTTTCATTCATTGTCTCCCGCCGTCTTCTTAGGCAATAGCACAGCTTGAATATTCGGCAGAACACCTCCTTGAGCGATGGTCACACCGGAGAGGAGTTTGTTGAGTTCTTCGTCGTTGCGAACAGCCAGCTGCAGATGACGAGGGTTGATTCGAGTCTTCTTGTTGTCACGAGCTGCATTGCCAGCCAACTCGAGCACTTCAGCAGCTAGGTACTCCAAAACAGCAGCTAAGTAGACAGGTGCACCTCCACCAATTCGACCAGCATAGTTTCCTTTCCGAAGCATTCGATGAATACGTCCAACGGGAAATTGGAGGCCAGCTCGAGCCGAGCGAGATTTGGCCTTGCCACCGCTCTTCGCTTTGCCTCCCTTACCGCGTCCGGACATGGAAAAGTCGATGGAATAAAGGTTTGGACAGAGAAGAACTCGCAAATGCGGCCGCAAGTGCTTTTATAGGGACAGCCGGTGCTGCCGCCCCGACCGCAGCCGGGGGCGGAGCACGCTTGCGTGTCGCCATACAAAAGTTTGAAAGAGCGCTTGCCGCCTTCTTTCGTCTAACTGCATCTGTTTCGTCAAACGTCTGCTGAATTCTGTCACCATGCCGCCTAAACCGCCTGCAAAAGGAGCCAAGAAAGCTGCCAAAAGCCAGAAAATTGGTCGTGGAGGCGACAAAAAGAAGAAGAACCGAAGAAAGGAGAGTTATTCGGTCTACATCTACCGCGTATTGAAGCAAGTCCATCCCGACACTGGAGTCTCATCTAAAGCTATGTCTATCATGAATTCTTTCGTCAACGATGTCTTCGAGCGCATTGCTGCTGAAGCTTCGCGTCTCGCTCACTACAACAAACGTTCAACGATCTCATCCCGTGAAATCCAGACTGCGGTACGTCTGATTCTACCTGGAGAATTGGCCAAACATGCTGTGTCTGAAGGTACGAAGGCTGTGACAAAGTACACCTCTAGCAAATAAGGTATTGTTTGATTTGTGTCGCTTATCTATTCCTAACGGTCGAAGGTCTCGGTTAATCACACTTTATTATTTGTCTCTATTACATTTCTATGGTTGACCTATTATTTGTATAACATTATAATACTGGTCTCATCAATGAAGTATGCATAAATATTGAATACTGATACTCGCGAAATAAACAGTCTATTGTCATGCAAGCTTTCGAACAGTGGAGACACTAGTCTGCTCAGTAATATGTGTTCCATTGTATTCTAGCCATAGTTCAGACATGACACAGGTTCGGGACTTAGAAATGTGTATATCACGATTTCAGATTCCCTGGTGAGAAGAAAGAGATAAACTAAAATAAATATACAAATTTATGCTTGTTGTCAGTAAGGACTGAAGTGGCGTCTTGATCTACTTGCGTAAGAATTTTGGGATAAATAGCGCGTGATCGAAGCAACGAGACATATTGTTATGAAAAGACAGTAAATTGGACCTCAAGTAGCAACAGAAACTTGACAAAACCTTTATTAGCTTGCCCTGAACTAGAGCATTTCATCACGATTCAACGGAGCGAAAATGTAAATTGCCAAAATGACCATAAATCATCGCCACTCTGAACATTTGCAATCATACCTCTAGGGGGTGCTAAAAATCTGCTTAGCCCTTACGAAATTCTCGAGTTGTCTGTTGATCAACTGTATTTCATTTCCCTTCAACCCAGCGTAGCCCTAAAATAATAATACATATCACAAATACCAAGTAGTATGATCAAATAATTTTTTCAAAACAGAACTCGGAAAAGCTTCTGGAGACATATTACGAGTAGAACAAGATAGCTAACACTTTAGTGCTAGTTGACTCAATATCTAATTTTATTATCATGGTGCTGGTTGCACATGTATTATATAAAGGGGCTGGGTAATGAGAATGAAAGAAATCAATCCTGAATCAAACGGGCACATAATGAAGAGAGAAATCGCAATATAAGAGCTATTCAGCAACTAGCAAGCAAAGACGTTACGCGTACAGTATCTAAGGAGATCGATCCTGTTCTTTCTTTCCTTTTGAAAATCAACGCACGTACTAGAAAATAGAGATCTGATTTTAAAGATGAGATACAGAACGAGTACCAAGATAAGGGTACTTATACTGAGTGTTCAAAGTTTCCAAATTTGTTGATTGATGTGATATCTTAAACACTATCCGATCATAAGAACCACATGAAGATGTATAAGGCCTCGGGCAGAGTTCAGGCAATTTGATCGTCGCGATTAATCGCGACAAAACAATTGTGACAATATCATTGCATGCCGATCTTCTTGCATTTCGGCTGTGATAGTTTTCCACACGGACTAATCATGACTAATCACAACCGAAATACAAGAAGATCGGCATGCAATGAACTCGTAACACTTGTCTTGTAGCGATGAATCGCGACGATCAAATCGTGAACTCTGCCTAAGAATTAAGGCTTGAGGCATACTTCGCGCGATTTCTGTCGCTGCGCGATTTGGCACAACAGCGACTCTCTGAAACTCGTTGTTGATGCGTTTCCCTTGGTCAGAACTTAACTCAATTCCAACAACTTACACAAGATGCCCGCCTATGCGTTCGAGAAGCGCGCACGATAAATTTGTAGAAATCTGGCAAATCGCCAAGTCGCGTGAAAGTGGCGATTTGGCCAAATCGCGTGAAGTATGCCTTAGGCCTAAGGCAAGAAACGCCTAAGTGTTGATAAGAAGATGAAGCTAAATGCGGCCTAAGTGACCCAATCATTATTGTTTCGTCTGACAATGAGGATATTGAGTACCTTCGCATGTGAATTTCAACTTCGTAATGTAAAACATGGCATGTGATGTGCGTGAAGAAATGGGAAAAAAATTATATAACGATACGAACGAAAAAGAAATGAAGGCATTCTGACCACTGATTAAGTGAAAACAAAAATTATAAAAACAGAAAAAGATATGTGCACATACTCTCTTTTGTCTGTCCACTTCTTTTCGCTCAAGCGACTTATTGGGCATTTGTATCCGCACCTCCGAATACGTCACCTTCGTCAACAGGATAGTAAGGAAACATGAGCCTCACTTCACTACAAGAAAAGCAGATTATAGAAAAAAAATTATGCTGCAGCACAACAGGGCTCCCAAAAAGATGTGCACACTATTTGATCGTTGAATAATTCTCTTGCTTTCATGTTTTTCGTCGACTTTGAGGTACCATTCTGTAGAGGGGGTATGGAATGGATCATCAGTCACTCTTTATTACTGCAGGATTGTAGGAACGTCAAAGAGGATTTGAAACTGAAAGCGACTCTTGCCCATGAGGAAACCAAACAAACCAAAAATTCTTGTGCTGGACTCGAAATCGCTGGTTTCAAATATGAAACTTGCACTTCAATGTAATGCTCATTTCATAAGTTTCAGGTCTAGCGTAACAATTGTTCAATTGTCAGAAGTGTAAACCATCAAAAAGGCTCGAGAAACTGGTAAAAAGTTGTGTAGTAAAATCAACACGCCTGAAAACCTTGGTGCACAAATTTCCACTATGAAATTCCACCAAAAAGACAATTCCACAGTGGCGCTGTATGTTGAAAGTTCACAGCGTAATCTTACGGTAATGAAGAATGATTGGTAATTCTCTATACGGTAAATCTAAGTTGAACCTCGCTCTACAGATAGTACCACAAGCTCGGCGAAAGATATGGAAGCAATAAAGCTATTAAAGATCAAACAGTGTGCACATCTTTTTAGAACATCCTGTATAGTGCTCATAAACTTCGCTCAAAAGAAAGATAAAAAAGAGGAAAAAATCAATGAAGGACAACTATAGATCCCAAAATAAGAACTCACCAGAACTTCTGCTCGATCCTTCAAATCGAGACAGACTGAAACCTCGAAAAAAAACTTCAGATGCGTAAACGCTCGCTGTTGACCAGGTTCATACTTAATGCCAGCACGTTTCCGACCATTCCGCTCAGAGCTGTAAGGCTCTGGCCAGACTTCGCTCAAAAGCGCCCAAAAGCGCTCAAAAGCGCGCAAAAGCGCCCAAATTTCTCTGGTGTCTCTTCATTTTCTCATGTGCGGAGAGATGAGAGAGAGTGAGGAGGGGTTAGAGAAGTTTGGGCGCTTTTGCGCGCTTTTGAGCGCTTTTGCGCGCTTTTGGGCGCTTTCGAGCGAAGTGTGGCCAGGGCCTAACAGAATGCTATACATATTTCTTTGTAAGAACTAAGCTAGTTATCTCACGAGTAAAGTAAACGATCACGAAATTGTCACACTAAAAGTTAGATGTCGACTTTGGAATGAGCACATGCTAATACTGAAGCAGATTTGCGCGATTCTGTCACCAAAACAGGCAGTTAGTTCAATTTTGCTTGCTCAATAAAACAAAAGATTGGTTATTACATACGGGAATCTCACGTTAAAGTAAAGCATGTGATCGAAAAGTACAAAAGAACCGACTGCATGCCCATATTGTCACGGAGTAGGAATCCATGTACAACTTATTCTTGGCCAAAAAATAAGCAAGATGGAGCTTGACAGCATACGAGACCATCTGATGCGCGATAACGTGAGGAGCAACTGAGGTCGAAGGGCAGCTTTTATGGCGTAGGGTTCGGCGTGGTTTTGAATGTGGAGCCCGCAGTACACAAGTTTTCAAAAAAAATTTTTTTTCATCACCTTTACGTCGATCACTGGTGAAATTTAATAAACCAAATATGGGCCAGCTGTAGCCAATCATTGATTGTCTTTTATTCAACGATGGGCAAACCTTAGGAACTTATAAGTTTTACGTGCTCTCAACGACGGATTCATTTTTTGCAGTCTTAATCGCAAATGTCTGAGCTTTTACTTTTCGCTAATATAGATACCATTAAGCTCTGTATTCAAACTCCTGCAAACTCTCACTGCATACTATTTTAGGTGTCGGAACCAAACCACACGGTCACAACAAAATCATATTGTCAGCTGCTGCCACACCGTCGAACAATTATCACCTGAATGTTGTGTGCAAATAATACATTACCGTATTTGCCTTTGCCGACTAGACTAACAAATTTATGGGGGAACAATTATCGAGGATCACGAGGTGGCAATCATTGACAGACATCGTTTAGTAAAGCGCCAATGACCGGCATGATCCTAAATCCCTTAATATAAAAATTGCAAGAAAGCAAAACTTCAAAAAGTGGAAGGAATTCTCTAAGGTTTTAAAATTGAGCTCCGCACCATTTTTGATAACTACTATAAAGGAGGGAAGAGCTGCTGCAATGTGATTAATTTCTTAATTCTCCTTTAGTGGAGAGAGGAATTAATGGATCTTACGATGTTAAAGGCAGTGTCCGGGCAAAAAGTCGATTCTGAGATTTTGTGCTTACCCGGGCCTATTCGCCATGCTGAATCCGAAAATCCACACTGGAAAGTGCGAAAACGGCGAAAAGGGGCTCTAACGCAGGAGTAAAATCAAAAACGGGCGGGGTCCTCCCCACGGTGAATTTACGGTCCCAGCTTCCGGAGCGATCTTTTTGATTCCGCTAACCGTCCTGACATCTCCACAGACCAAATGCGAACGCATGATCTGAAATCGGAAGCGAGAATATCGCTCCGGAAGCTGGGACCGTGAATTCACCGTGGGGAAGACCCCGCCTCCTATTAATTTCACGCCGACGTTAGAGCCCTTTTTCGCCGTTTTCGCGCTTTCCAGTGTGGATTTTCGGATTCAGCATAGCGAGTAGGCCCCAGTAAGCACAAAATCTCAAAATCGACTTTTGCCGGGACACTGCCTTTAATGAGATTTACGATAGCGTTAGTGCGAGAAACTGTGGGTTAGTTTTATGGTTTTATAAATTTCAGCTAAATCTTGACTCGGACTCTGCAATTAGATGCAAGCTTCTCAATCAAAAGTATTTGTCACCAACAATACATATGCACTTTTCAAGTGTCACAAAAATAAAAAATATAAATATAGGTATGAGGTAATATGAGGTATGATCGTCTCCACGATTCGTGTAGAGGTGTATTGCAGACTTTGCCTGATAACACAGGTAAACTTGTTAAACCTCCACGACATAGCATTGTTCTTCGTACTCTCTCGCTATCAAAAACCGCCACGCTTTGAATTGGCAAAACCCCGCCTCTACGCGAATCGTGGAGTCGATGATATATACTCTCAAGCGTTGAGCGGAAGTACCTTAGGATTACATCCTAAGGTACTTCCGCTATGTATTGTTGGTGACAAATACTTTTGATTGAGATTCCGCTCAACGCTTGAGAGTGTATACCTCACTCTATAACTTTGTATTGGATACATTGCTAAGCTTTTCAGTGAAACATCTTGTATGTGTTATATTTTTCAGATCTTTACAACTTTCACAGTTACAAGGGCGAGTCCTATCTTTGTTGGCTTTTCGCAATAAGGTTTCTTGATTGAATTTCCAACGAACTTGATTTCATGCGTCTTCCATAGAAAATACTTTCTCATAACAATTACAAATCAGTCTCATGTCTGTCAAACAAAATGAACGCTTCGTAATTATTCATTTGGTACATGAAACGTCTATTTTCCAACTGAATATGCAGCTTGTTAACAAAATTTGTGGATGTAACGACTATGGTTTTACACCAACAGCAGATCCTTTATTGTATGAGACCATATGATACAGATGATAAAGCAAATAGTGTGAGTGGGATGTGTAAAAGAAGTGCTACTTTAAGAAAATGATAAAAAATAAAATTGATGCAAATAAAGGTGATACATGGTAATAAAAGAAATTTAAAAAATATGTGATTAACCAAGAAATAAGGTTAGGAATGGATAGGAGAATAACATGAACAAAACCTCATTTACTAGAGGTGTACTTGGTAACAGCCTTCGTACCTTCAGACACAGCATGTTTGGCCAGTTCTCCAGGTAGAATCAGACGTACTGCGGTCTGGATTTCACGGGATGAGATCGTTGAACGTTTGTTGTAGTGAGCGAGACGTGAAGCTTCAGCAGCAATACGCTCGAAGACATCGTTGACGAATGAATTCATTATAGACATAGCTTTGGATGAAACTCCAGTGTCGGGATGGACTTGCTTCAGAACACGGTAGATGTAGACCGAATAACTCTCCTTTCTTCGGTTCTTCTTCTTTTTGTCGCCTCCACGACCAATTTTCTGGCTTTTGGCAGCTTTCTTAGCTCCTTTTGCAGGAGGTTTAGGCGGCATGGTGACAGATTTCAACAGATGATCAACAGAACAGAGCGCAGCTAGGCGAGAAGAGGCGGCAAGCTGCCTCGTAAATTTTCGTATGACGGCCCGCGAGAATGCTCCGCCCCCTCGCAGCAGTGGGAGCGGCGGCGCCGGCACCACATATAAAACCACCTGTGGCCCCATTTGCGAGTTCTTCTCTGTCCATACCTTTATTCCATCGACATGTCCGGACGTGGTAAGGGAGGCAAAGCGAAGAGCGGTGGCAAGGCCAAATCCCGCTCAGCTCGAGCTGGCCTCCAATTTCCCGTTGGACGTATTCATCGGATGCTTCGGAAAGGAAACTACGCTGGTCGAATCGGTGGAGGTGCTCCTGTCTATTTAGCTGCTGTTTTGGAGTATCTAGCTGCTGAAGTGCTCGAGTTGGCTGGAAATGCAGCTCGTGACAACAAGAAGACTCGAATCAACCCCCGTCATCTGCAGCTAGCTGTTCGCAACGACGAAGAACTCAACAAACTCCTCTCCGGTGTGACCATCGCTCAAGGAGGTGTCCTGCCCAATATTCAAGCTGTTCTGCTGCCTAAGAAAACTGCTGGAGATAGTGAATGAATCCCCTATTTTCCCTAGAGTATGTGTGAAAAGTGATAAATCAGCGGCATCTCATAAGTGCGCCCGTAACGAAAGTGGGCGAACATCAAGGCAAGCGGTTCTATTTGTGATCTATATCTATCCATCTTTTTCATATGGGTACTTAATTGGCTTATTGTAGGCCATAAGAAGTGTTTTTATTTAGGGATGCTAACAGTACACGGTTTGTATGAATTATCTCTACCATTTTTGCTTATCATTCGTTTGTAACTTGCTTTCTCATGCATAAATCTCATATCTGGATTCTTGTTTAGAAAGTTTTGTTTATAGTATCGGAAAAACTCTTGTAATTTCATAATCAAGTTGCATAAAAATTTCCAAAACTTTTGACTCTGTATAGCTCCATACTGTCCGGTTTTAAGCAAATAGTTTTGTGCAGGACTTAGAACATAATTACCAATGTGGCAAAGAATAATCAGTATCATATTTATTGCAGCAGAAAGATAAGATCTATATCTGTGCGATGTCAAAGTACTATGAGATTGTGATGATGTGGCCCTAAAGAGGGCCGTTGGGTCAGAATCAGTTCAAAGTTGTCGACATGAGAGCTTCTTATCCTCCGAATCCATAGAGGGTACGTCCTTGGCGCTTGAGGGCGTAGACGACATCCATTGCGGTGACGGTCTTTCTCTTCGCGTGCTCGCAATACGTGACAGCGTCTCGAATCACATTCTCCAAGAATACTTTCAGCACACCACGGGTCTCCTCGTAGATCAGCCCAGAGATACGCTTCACTCCACCACGACGAGCGAGTCGACGAATTGCTGGCTTGGTGATTCCTTGGATGTTGTCACGAAGAACTTTGCGATGTCGCTTCGCACCTCCCTTGCCAAGTCCTTTGCCTCCTTTTCCGCGACCAGACATGACGACGACGATTGCACTCACAAATGAGATAAAGCAACACAGCGACAGCTGCTTATATAGGCGTAGCTCGGGTCACCCCGTTGCGCCCCCAAGTAAGGCGGAGTCCTCTGCATACCCATACCTACTTTAAAAGTGTGAGAAAATTGATTGGACTGTTCAGAGAGACTTGCTTTTATATCATTGCTTGCACCATGCAAAACTCCAAGCAACCATTTATGGGAATATCTCAAAACTTTCAGTCTTCTATAAGTTCTATTAATTGCTACGCTGAAAGCCTCATGTGAAGTAGAAGTTGCGCTGGACGGTCGGTCCTCCAAATTACGTGAACACGCCTACATGTACAAGCTCAGGTATTACTTATCCACTCATTCACAATTTTACTGGATGAAAATGCTGTACTTATGTAAATAAGTAACTTCTCGAAAGGCTCGAAGGACTTCGACGTTGCCTCTTCTTCTTACGAAATTGACAAGCTTAGTATGATCCATGCAAATCTAACAACTAAGTTCTCGACTAACTTTCTACACGAAAAGCTACAGCTAAAGTTGCAAGGTCAAAAGCAAGTCGATCGATAATTCCACGGTTTTTTTTCACCATTGGTTCCAGTCCGTGCTAGCGAAGAGGAATCGATGCGAGTGCTGACGAGGAGAAGTGCAAGAGTGCGCGCTACAAAAAACAAATGCACTTTTGTGGGGACACCATTTGTACTCACAATTTTCTATTTCAGTTATGTCAACACATTGACAACATTAGGATCCCGTGTTGTTCTCTAGAACTCCGATTGTTAGTCCATAGTGGGACCTTCTTGAAATTCTATTCGTTACACACGCTCTTATTTGAAATGGGTCTATTTCAATTATCTGAGTAAACTGAAATCGATAATAAACATCCTACTAAGACGTTGTATACAGCGGTCATCTGGTATGAGATTTGATCTCTCATGTCTTTCTTATTTACAGCGTATTCAGGGCGGTTTTTTTATTTTTTCGCCATATTATATGCGGCTTCATCTCACAAAAAACCACATTAAATACACTGTAAATAAGAAAGACAAGTTACAAATGGATAGAAAAGCAAGATAAGAGTTTATCTGAATTTCGTATGACTTTGTCTTTACCCCGAGGTGAATCGGTTTTACTGTTTTATTCGAATAACATGTTTTTTTGAGCTTTGTTTTGGTATGCAGAGAATCTGTTACCCTTATTCCAATACTGATTTCGGATCATAATGTGGACGTTGAATGGAAAATTCCTAGCGTATAAAATTATTCAGGGGTATCTGGAGTTACCATATGACTGCAAAGGCCAAAGCTACCATTGTTCCTACCTCAGCACCAATCTGAAACCGAGTAGAATATGGTTTTCTTGTACAAGCCCCCCCCCCCTTAGCACAAGACTAGCCCATTTGCCATAAGTTTGACAAAACGAGAAACGTTTCACTCGGTGGTGAAAATCTAGAAAACGGTGAATTTGGATATCATTTCAGCTCTCTATTGAGCTTTTGACAACATAATGTTTGCTGAAAACACTGTTTCATAGGTTATGGTGTGTTTGATTGTTGGCTTGCAGAGACCTCATTAGATTAAGCAGCTTTATTCTTACTAGAACTTCGTTACATCTATTGTAGTACAAATATAAGCACTTATTGAAAGTGTGGCCCTAAAGAGGGCCGTTGGGTCAGATTAATTTACTTTGCTATTTACTGTCGATGTACTTCATGCACGTTCTCCGCGTAATCTTCTTGCCAGTTGGATGTCCTTGGGCATGATGGTGACACGCTTAGCATGGATGGCGCACAGATTCGTGTCTTCAAAGATTCCCACCAAGTAAGCTTCAGAAGCTTCCTGAAGGGCCATCACAGCCGAAGACTGGAAGCGAAGATCGGTCTTGAAATCCTGCGCTATCTCACGCACAAGACGCTGGAACGGCAATTTGCGGATGAGTAGCTCGGTTGACTTCTGGTAGCGACGAATCTCCCTGAGGGCAACAGTTCCGGGACGATAGCGATGTGGCTTCTTCACTCCTCCGGTGGCTGGAGCAGATTTTCGGGCAGCCTTGGTTGCCAGTTGTTTCCTGGGAGCTTTTCCTCCAGTAGACTTGCGAGCTGTTTGCTTGGTACGAGCCATTGCTTGTTGGACAACGACGATGGAAGTGCTGATAGCTCAAGTCCTTATATGGCTCTGACGAAATGGGCGGGGCTTGCTTCATGCAAGCTGCGGACATTGGTGCATCTGTTTCATAGATGTCACGTACGAGAAAATAGAATGTGTTGTATCTAGCTGCAGAAATCTTCTATCAGATTTTGAGTAAACAACTTTCGACACAACTCATACAATGACTTTAAATGTAAAATACCGTGCTTCAGAGTGTGCTGCACATGTTGTAATTTTTGGGTAATGCTTTGAGAAAGCAAGAATAAGTTCAAATCCGCGCTCACAAACATCTCAATAAGTAAGTCCAGAAAAGGTCCACATTTGTAATTCAGAGTACCGGGACATCAGTTGATCGCTCATATCATATCCCAGAACCCGATCAACCTTCTACCCTAATACCCTACTAGTCTTGCAGGATAGATCAGATTAGGAAAATTCAATTTTCATTTCAGCGGAAGAACTGAGTGTATAAATTACAGACTTCTTGGCAACGGTAGCAGCCTAAAAACCAAGTAAAACCTGTGAAGGAAGAGACGAAACGGATTTCAAAATATCAAACTCTTATACAAAGCTTCTCCAACTCCTCGTCTTTGCGAATGACCAGCTGGCGACGATAGAGTTCGCTCTCTGTCTTAACAATTCGGCTACCTTAAGAATCGTATGTACAAAAGACGTCCACTTCTTTTGCGTCTAATTGTGTCCCTATCTAAACTTAGTGCACTTTGGGTAACTATAGAACGTATTTGGAGCTCAAACTCCCCCCCCCCTTCTTGGGCGGGGCTTTCTTGCAGGCGTGCCATAGGGTCGCTTGACTGCGACGTGCACTTATCGACTGATCGTTCGCCTACAGCGTATTTATTGCGTCATCTACCCCCAACATGCCACCGAAGGTTTCCAGCAAAGGAGCTAAGAAAGCCGTGAAGAGTCAGAAGCTTGGACGTCAAGGTGATAAGAAGAAGAATCGCAGAAAGGAGAGCTATTCGGTCTACATCTACCGCGTGCTGAAGCAGGTCCATCCCGATACTGGCGTCTCTTCAAGGGCAATGTCGATTATGAATTCGTTTGTCAACGACGTCTTTGAGCGTATTGCTGCTGAAGCTTCCCGTCTAGCCCACTACAACAAACGTTCTACCATTTCATCTCGTGAAATTCAAACTGCTGTTCGTCTGATTTTGCCTGGTGAACTCGCTAAGCATGCTGTTTCTGAAGGTACGAAAGCTGTGACAAAATACACTTCTAGCAAATAAGTTTTTTGCTACAATTTTCGTGAATCAATAGTCCTCATTAGGGCCAATTTGGTGATTTTATCAGTAGCGTTGGTTTTCTGTATCACTTGTGAACTGTGTCTTTTCTACAAAGTTTCCTTGGGTCTTGAGATTGCATTTGTCTGGATTTCCTCATTGTAATAATCGTAACTGTGTCATAATGTTTGTTCTGCTTTTTTCTAATCATTTTTCATGTTTTGCGGAAATAAAAGCAAATGTTGTTTTTATGTTCGTTTTGCACATCTTTTTTTATGATTGCTGTCTTTGAATCGATACAGAAGTGCACATTGGACAATGAAAAAACCACTTGAAAGTCTAAAGAACGTTTCGAATGTTCACTGAGCACTTTGGTATGAGTCATCAAAATTTAGCGAGTTATTATTACGAGCGTTGTTTGCGTTTTGGAAGTAGCATTAGAAGCTTTCCATCATTGAAAACTCGTTCAAAGACTAGTGATTTACCTGAAAATCGATCCACTCATCCCTAGAAAAGTTCAAACTGAGGAGAAAAGAACACTTCATTTGGTTCTTCCGATGCACTCATCTCTTTCAGAGCAGTGCTGAACACTTGGAGAATATTAAGGCATGATGTTCTTAAGTTTCTGTGGCTCATCAAGCTTCAATATGTTTTTCAATCATGTATTCTCCAATGAATAGTCATGGAGGCATCAGGGAAATATTGCTCTAGTTTAAGGGCCGGGCATACTTCACGCGATTTCAGTCGCGATGCGATTTGATAATTTTCCATCTGTTCATAACTCACTGTAAGAACATTTCAAATGTACAGAATGCAAGGCCTTTTATCAATCCACGTAGTTATACACACTATGCATGTGCAGTTAGCTAATGTTGTATCTGAAGACTTTTGGCGAATTGCCAAATTGCATCGCAACTGCAATCGCGTGATGTATGCCCGGCTCTTTAGCGAAATGCAGGAGGACATTATTGTTCAGATCCTCCCAGTGTACCCTGACCTGAATATAAATCATATGTAAGTGAATTTTTGAATGTCGCATACATTCGAAATTTTAGATTTGATCAAGAACAGTTATCAGATTCACCCTCAATTTTTTTGCCCAAAGTGTACAGCCGATGTCAATTACGTACTCCCTTTCGCATGGGACCCATAGTTGCGATAGGGGGAGTGATGGATCTTACCCCCTTCACTTTGAGGCCAAACTCCCGATGACCCCCTTCAGCTGGGCTGAGATTGGTATTGTACTCTGAGAATATAAAATGAAAATCGTTATTAAAAGGTTTTGCAGGCTAACTACTTCAAACAACAAGTACACTCATAAATTTATATTAAGAGGATTCGAGGATTAAGAGGATTTATATCAAGAGGATTCGACCTAGACCATTACTTTCTTTCTAGTCCCCCTCCCGAGAGATATACCACATTTTATCCGAAAAAAGGTCCATTAACAGCAGATTTCTGCCAAGCGAAGACCTAATCACTGCTGATTATCTATCTGTGTGATAGAGCAAGTCTTCATTAACAAACGTAGACCGTCGACTTTCTCGTAGCATTCATTTGGAGAGCAGAAAGTGAGGGCACAAAATCAGCTAATTTTTGAAGCACATAAAATCCCTCATATCTCGCGTCACAGAAGACCTGGAAAAAAGGCGACGGTCTACGTCGATTCTCCATGATCTCAGCTTTTGAATGGTTTACAGCACGTTAGGGCTTCTTTGCTTCCCGTCTCTAAAAATCATTTGCTCCGTTAACCCATAAAAGCCAACACATTGTATAGGTCGTCCCGAAAGCTCTTGCGCACGATTTTCAAAAATTCATAACTTCTGATTTTTCCAACCAATTTGACTGCTTTCACTTTTATATGAAAGGGTAAGTCATGTTTTTCATAATGACATCTCAGTGCTTACTAATGGTCATCTGTTGCATAGATAAGAGGGATAGAATAATATTGGTCAAAATTTGAATTTTTTGTGTAGGATCATAGAAAATCGGAAACTTGCAACAAAAATCGGAGCAGTCAGTATTGTAGGTTCCTTCACCAGCTCTTTCTAACAGTGCGAAGTTTGCGCCGATTGAGGGTCTTTATGAAAAGTTATGATTTTCGAGCAAGCAATACAAAAGGGCGAATTTGGTTTATTTTGGCATTTTTCAGGGAAATCATAACTTTCCATAGAAACGCTCAATCGGCGCAAACTTTGCACTGTTAGAGAGAGCTGGTGAAGAACCTACAATACTGGCTGCTCCGATTTTTGTTGCAAGTCTCAGATTTTTTGTGACCCTACACAGAAGATTCAAATTTTGACTATTTCTCTTCTATCGCTCCTATCTATGCAACAGATGACCATTACTAAGCACTGAGATGTCATTATAAAGAGGATGACTTACCCTTTCACTAAAAATGAAAGCAGTCAAATTGGTTGGAAAAATCAGAAGTTATGAATTTTTGAAAATCGTGCGCAAAAACTTTCGGGACGACCCAATAAGAGCGAGGTGGAGCAAGTTAATAGTAAAAATGTGCTATGGATTGACATCGTTATCAGCACTAACGGGAACGTGAGCTAACACATCTATTTAGGCGTGCTTATCGTTGTTGTATGTTTATGTTTTTTTTCTCAAAAATGCGCTTTTGATTGACAGTTATGCCATCATTATTAGCACACACTCAAAAAATTATGGGAGATTGGTGAATTTCCACACCTTCACACAAAAATCCGCCCATTTCTGGAATCTATACTCTGTAGACCTAGTGCTAAAAAACGTCACTTTCGTGAAAACGCTCTAGACTCACCTTACCTAATTTGTAGAGAATGGTTTGTTTCAATGAAGTGAGCTGAACACTTTTTACGAGAACCGTTGAAGAATAAAATTGCAATCGAGATCGCTGATGATTTTAGAGCGTTGTCGCCAGAAAATGATATATTTTGAGCGGTTAGAAGCATCAGCAGCACTTCGTTGAGCAGATGGATGCATCAACAGCACTTCAGTGACCGATATTTACGACTAGTAAGTAGCTCACTAGTTAGCAAATGCCGGGAAAGTAGTAGAATAGCATAAATTTTTTCTACTTGTTGAAACTTTTTGTTATGATCTTCAGTAACCAGGCAACAATCAAAACATCACCTGTATGAGTGGTCTTCGCCTTCTGGCAGCGCGCTATTGCCCTTTCCCCGGCTTGGAGTTGCGCTTGGAAGAAGTCACCAAGGTTTTGGGAGTTCTCTTATAGTTGCGCTGCTATAAAGCAGATTCAGTGAGCAAATAGCTTACCATTCGGAAAAGCTTTCCAAACCCCTTCACATAATCTATTTTGTGGTTTTTTCGTTCAAATAAAAAAGCCGAAAACTCAAAAAATTGCGACTTTTCGGCGCAGAGAAAACCCAGCGAATCATGTTTCAGTGTTTATTTTCCATTCGTAAAGGAAAATTGTGGTAATTGGCACATGGATGGATGGCGCGTAAAAAGCTTTTCTAGATAATATCAAAGTTTGACCTTTTTCTTGGAACTGCTCATGACTACACTCCTGACGCAAGGCCTTGATACTGTTAAGGTGTCGCTGATTTAGCGACAGTCCTTTCCCCCGGTGTAAAACTTATCTAAGTGATCGTATATGTCTTACTGCGAAGTTGCTCAAAGTTCACAATTGCTCGAAATGAGTGACTTCGCGTTTCAACAGTTACAGTTTGGATTACTGCACAGGATGGCCTTACATAAGTTTCACTTGAACGAGCACGATGTGTTCCAACATTTATCATAATTCGAGCGTGTGGTGATTTTTTTCTCAGTTCGCTGCAATAATTTTTAAAGTGTCTCATTACTTTCCCACTCCTAGTAATAAATTTTCAAACGATCCGGAATGTACGGTTGAGTTAACCATTCTGCAGCCTTACTGCTTGCTTTTTATGGGTAAGAGGAACTGATACAATTGCGTTTGCCACGCTTTTGTGAATGATTCATTAGCTTAGTTTTGTAAATAGGTATCTCCTTGAGGATAGAAAATGCAGGTCTGCCATGGCTGTTAACCCTGATAGCCATTTTCGAGCTTATCTGAGCTGACTTGGCTCAGTCTTAGGCTATGCCGTTTGTCAATTGCAGAACTTGCGTAGCATAGAGCAATCCATTAGAAAGGCTTTTGTGCTTCTTTTGAATGACGTAGTCTGGACTTAAATTGGTCAGACAAAGCACCCATCTCTGAGGAGAGATGAACTAACGGTGTGGAAGGTAAAAAGATTCTTGGTATCCACAAAATTCTTGCAATTTCGGTATCTCTTGGTATGGGTGACTGATAGTTTCCGACTTTTCCCTTTTCATATTCCAACAAAATTAAAAGAATTATTAAAATTATTAAAATTCAAAGGATCTAAGTGGGCCACGCTTTGCAAAGTCCTATCACCGAAACTCGAATAGACATGCTAATGTAAGATCGGGTTATTTGCTCTTTGTTGTTTTGCGCCCCTTCATACTGGGAGACGGTTAAGAGGCGCGATTTCTTTCGCTGTTAGCAACTCAAAACTCCAGTTTAGCGCTACGCGAGTTTCAAAAAGTACCACGTGAAGTGCAATGTGTTACTATCTGTCTAAGATAACCAAATGCTGAGTTTGGTGGCTTTTGCTGGAAAACGGACCGAAATATTCAAAAACTTGTTTTTAACTGCATTTTCATGGGTTTTTGACCTTCAAAATTGCTTTTTCGAGTTGATTCCAAGGTAGCAAGATTGAGGACCCATGCAGCTATCTAATATATCTCCCTCAGAAATCTAGATACTTTTAGAATGTTATAAAACACTTATTATGTGCTGTTTGTTGTTCATCTGGCAATAAAAATCGCGCCTCTTGACATACACCCCTCCTTTTAGCGTATTGAACCCAAGTCAGTAAACCTTTCTTGCGTCAAATTTGAGAATCTCCGAAACCTCAACTGGAAAGAAAATGCTGATATCCGTCAGAGAATGCACGAAATCTCGTGATTGAAGGATGACGCGTATGATTTGATTGCGAGAATTCCAGCATTAT